AGCTATTATTCTAAGCAAACCAAAAAGACCTTAAATCTATTTTTTTCACACCTGTCAGTTTTTCAGTAAACAGCACAAGTGTGTTTTTTATGTAAAGTTCCGCTTGTTTTTGTCCTTTAAGTGTTACTGAAAATGTATTCTTTATTATATTTTATCAGCAGTCGGTCTCCTTTGTCGTATTCCACTAAAACAAATGAAGGGCACTACACGGAAAGATGTTTTATTCAGCTCGTGTAAAACTTGTTCAATGCAGCACTGTAATACTCATTTTAATTGAAATCCGCATCACCTTGTTTTGGTCAATTTAATTACAATACAAAGCAATTTACATCTGTAAAGTGTCTGTCACTATATAGATGTAGTCTCCGTTTTACTCAATCTTCACGGATCTGCCCTGGCCGGGCTCGATTCCTATCTCTCTCACCGTCTCCACTTCGTTGTCTCTAACGGTTTCTCCTCCAGCCCCCGCACTGTCACGTCTGGCATCCCCCAGGGCTCTGTCCTTGGCTCTGTCCTTGTCTCCTCTTTACTATCTATATGCTCCCCCTCGGTGACATCATCCGCAGACATGGGGTCAACTTCCACATGTATTCGGATGACACCCAACTCTATCTTTCTGCCTCCACCCTCAACTCCAGGACACTGCTGTCCTGACAGAGTGTCTGTCGGACATCAAGTCCTGGATGAGGGCAAACTTCCTACAGTTGAATGCGAACAAGACTGAGGCCCTCCTGATTGGCTCGCGCCAGCGCCTCCGCACCTCAAGCTCTGGCAGCATCACCCTCCATAGTCGCACACTTTAACTCACCAACTCACGCATTTGATACAGCGCCTTATCACGACTTCAAGACGTCTCAAAACTCTTCACAGAATATACTGTAAAGGCTGTATATTTTCTGAGCGAAACACGGCAGCCAATTGCGCACAGCAGCGTCCCACAAACAGTCGTGGATTGAGTGACCAAATTATTTTTATTTCTTTTGTAGGGATTATTACCCCCAGAAAAGCGATCCGCCAATCGACTTAACAACCGAGTTCCTACTTACTGCTGGTAAACAGAGGGAGTAAGGAAGGAAACTTGCCCAACATATCGCCCGGCCGGGAATCAAACCCAGGTCCTCTCGTTTGCGAGGCGAGTGCTCTAACCACTGAGCTGCAGGACTCCAATCGAGCTATAAAGAACAAAATATTGCCCTTCAATCCCATGGAGTGGCTGAGATATCACTGCAGTAAACCTTGCGGTCATGTATTTGTTTACCTTTCTGAGCTGCCAATCAGGCATATGGGCATTGGTACAGCCTTCCATCAGAGCAGAACATACTGTCGCCCTCAAGTCTGGCTCCTCTGATGGCAAACCAGCCCAGCAAGACCTTGCAGTGCTATATCTCAGTCATTCAACACAGTCACAGAACAATTTCATTTTCACTTTCACATTAGGGCTATCGTGCAAAGCACTGTACTTAAGAATAAAAATAAATCCCGGTTGTTCAAACATTTAACCACTTGTTGGTTTGGAGGCAGATAGTGAATCAGTCCGGTGAGTGCTTGGAGCCAACAAAATGCCTCCTCTCATGCAAAGTAGTCCCTTGAATTTCAAAAGATACTATTTAATCTTATGTTTTAATGCTACATCCAAAATGCCTGATTGAACGCATGTCAGATCCTGCACACTATTGCTAGAGTGACACTCCTTGCTCCAGGCACTTCCTTAGAGCAGGTAGAAGAGATTCCTAGATATCTATCTCAGTTATCAGTCAGTTAGTACAAATGACTTTGGTGATAGTACACATGATATATAGTGAGGATCAGCGGACAATCCAGAGCACCTCACAAATCCTAAACAGGAAAGTCACATGGAGAATAATTCTGTGTTTCTTAATCTTCACTTGTTTTTTTTCGTTATTTTATTTGGTCCTGGAGCTCAGTGGTCAGTGCACTCGCCTCGCAAGCGAGAGAACCCAGGGTTCGATTCCTGGGCAGAGCGAAACCTTCGGCAAGTTTCCTAACGCCACCCACCGCTGTTTACCTAGCAATAAGCAGGAACCCGTTTGTTAGTCGATTGGCGGATCGCTTTCTGGGGGTAATAATCCCTTCAAAAAAAAAAATAGGAGTCATTTGGTCACTCAATCCACAACTGTTTGTGGGACGCTGCTGTGCGCCATTCTGCTGTGCTGTTTCACCTACAAAATATGCAGTCAATTCACTACAGTATATATGGGACGTCCTCCCGACGTGAAAGGCGCTATACAAGTGTAATCTTGTTGCTGTTGTATATTCTGTGAAGCTGTTTGAGACGCCTCGAAAGCATGATGAGGGGCTGTATCAAATGCAAGGATTATTACTGTTCATTCAACTCTGGACCGGCTGCAGGAATCTGACCAACACACCCAGAGATTGCCTTCAAGGGTCATTGCATATCCTTGCATATCAAATGCAAGGATTATTATTATTATTATTATTCTTGGGCCGGGAGCCAAAAGCCTCGTAAGCTGTGGCACACTCCATTCCGGGCAATGAGAAATCCTGCGAGTTTAACAGGAAGTCCCACTCTCGGTGCCCGCTGCAGAATCCAACGCGGGGAAAATTCAGCCCAGGCTTTTGGCAAAAGGCAGTTGAGCGCAGAAGCCCTTCTGGATTCAGTCTTGTGCTGTGTAAATGGAATTGTAGCTGGCTTAGCAACTGTTACTGGGTGGCAGCATGCTCGGAAGTGTTGAGATGTCATCGTAAACAGAGAGCAAGATCTTGCAGCACATGCTTTAAAGCACTTTATTGTGTGGCGCAGTGAGTCGCGCAGTGAGCTCGAATATACAGACCTCTTCAGCCCGGACTTGTTAATATTGGTCTCCCAAGTGCGCTCCACAGAAACTCCACTCCGTTGCATCCACGCATGGTGGAATGTCTCGGAGTGGCGTTCCCAAGGATCGAAGGTTAGCACACACTAGCCCGGCTCAGTGAGTTAGCATGCACTAGCCCGGCTCAGTGAGTAAGCACGCACTAACCCGGCTCAGTGAGTTAGCACGCACTAACCCGGCTCAGTGAGTTAGCACGCACTAGCCCGGCTCAGTGAGTAAGCACGCACTAACCCGGCTCAGTGAGTTAGCACGCACTAGCCCGGCTCAGTGAGTTAGCACGCACTAGCCCGGCTCAGTGAGTTAGCACGCACTAGCCCGGCTCAGTGAGTTAGCACGCACTAGCCCGGCTCAGTGAGTTAGCATGCACTAGCCCGGCTCAGTGAGTTAGCATGCACTAGCCCGGCTCAGTGAGTTAGCACGCAGTAAGCTGGCTCAGTGAGTTACCACACACTAAGCTGGCTCAGTGGGTTAACATACACTAAGCTGGCTCAGTGGGTTAACATACACTAAGCTGGCTCAGTGGGTTAACATACACTAAGCTGGCTCAGTGGGTTAACACAAACTGGCTTAGCATGTGAAGGTCTGAATCTAAACTCCACACCACCCTCTTGGTGAAGAAGTCCCTCCAGCCTCCTTACCAGATCTGGTGCTTGCGAGCTTATATTTATACCCTCTTGCTTCGGAATTAGCAACGAGTAGAAACTGCTCATCAACATCCACCTTATTAAATTCGTCCATAATCTTAAACACCTCTATCAGGACATCTCTGAATCATCTCAACTCTAGAGAGAAAAGCTCCAAAATGTCCAATCTTTCTTGGTAGATGTTTCCACTCAGCCCTGGTAAGAACCTTGTAAACCTTATGCTCTACTCTTTTCAGTGCTCCAATACTGTATCCTTCCTGTAATATGGCGACCAGAACTGTATACAGTACTCCAAATGCAGTCTAACTAGAGTAGAGTTTTATAAAAAAAATTAACATTACTTCCCCACGTTTAGACTTTATTCCTCTGGACATACATAGCCAGAATGAACTTAATTCGTGTACAACAAAATAACAGGCTTATAAATAGCTACGATTGCTTCGTTCTTTGATAATTGTTTTTATGGCACTTTAAAATTCAGTTCCACTGGAAATTGATGTGATTCACCGCAGACATTAAGGACGTCTACAAAATAGGCATTGACAGATGCCGGCCGTTTGCCCCTCAGGTATATTCACTATTTCCCTTTGGTTCCAGCTTGTGATCTTAGAAAGGTTTGAAGCCAAACTGTTTAAACGTAAACTTTGAAAGTCAGCAACAATAACAAACAATCAGATCAGATGCTGTTTCAGGATCACTGCCCACATCACGAGTACAGGAACAATTTAACCCTTCCGTGCCGTCTTGGCCTCCACCTTGCAGGGAGCACGGCACTGGGTGAGCTGTTCAGCTCATTTATGCAGCAGACAAGAAAGTGGGGCCATGATTCAGTGTCTTGAAAGACAATTCTAGCACAGATACAATAATCATCACGATAATAATCCTGGCATTTGATATAGCGCCTAATCACGTCATTGAGACGCCTCAAAGGGCTTCACAGAATATATTGTAAAGTGGGTTGACTGTATATTTTATAGATATTGGGGAGTATTTCTTTACATCATAAGATTAACAACAACTGAAACTGGTTCCCAGGAAAGGACGGTAGAGGCCAGGACACTGGATTTAATTTTATTTTTAAAAAAAAGCTGGATGCTGTATAAGGTGAATGATAGAATGGGTTTTCTGGAAGGACACGATCAAACTAAGGCCTTCTCCATCTGAACCAACCTCTCTTGTGAACAATTTGAGCTTCAGTACTGTTCACGTATTGAAGGAATAGCTGAAAGTTTCAGCCATCCGAAGCCAAACGATCGAGAAAGTTGCAGTGTGTGGTCGGTCACGTGACCCAGCATTGGGATGGACCGACAACAACAACAACAACAACTTGCATTTTATATAGCATCCCTCACTCAGGGTAGCGTCCCAGAGCCCCAGATGCTGAGGTCCAAATGGTGCGTGTCAATCGATGCCCTCGATCGACGGGGCAATGCTGCAGTTGTGTCCACAAACAGTAGAGGTGCTGGACAGCCCAGAGAATTAAAGGTTTGATTATCTCTTCCAGGCTTTGATGCGACCAGGACGTATTGACCGTATTATTTACGTGCCGCTGCCTGATGCAGACACTCGGGCCGAGATCTTCAAACTCCAGTTTCGTTCCATGCCCATCAGTCAGGACGTCACCGTGGACTTCCTGGTGACCAGGACCCAGAGATACTCCGGGGCTGAGGTAAGCCAACGTGCAGCCAGGAGCAGGTCTCCGAGCCCTCGATCGGCACTGCTTGCTGACCACCCAAGCCGAGGGTTTGGGAGCGGAGGGGCTGGAGAGGGGACAAAAGATGATCGAAACCATGGTGTTTTGAGACCGGACTTGTATGAGGTTGTGGGAGGGGCAGAGGGCCTCCGGGGATGGAATTCCCGAGAGCGGGGGCAGAATACACACATGGATGCGCGAGCACACACGCACACGCACGCACGCACACGTGCACACACACACGCGCACACATACAAGCGTACGCACACACGCGCACACACACACGCACAGAGCACAGCATCCGCATTTACCTAGACACATACGTGCACCGGTTTGACAATTGTTTCCACAGTAATGGGATTGGAATCAGACAAACAAGGCACATGGCAGCAGGTTCCCCCATTGGGGCCCTGCGTGTCCAAGCACACGCGCTCAGCAGCCACTCTGTACCGTCCAAGGCACGTCCTGGTTTGGGAGCGGGAGGCGCTGACCTGGCTGAACCGAGTCGAAAGTGCAGCTTAAAACTGATCCCAGCCCCGACCTAAATGTGGGGCAGTGAGAGACTTTGCTGCGGTCGTAAAACATAATTATAAACGGGCACAGAGGGAGCGGGAGAGGAAGGACAGCTCTAAGCTACAGCGGCAATATACCTGTAATCGAAAAAGTACACAGCAACGGAAGTTTCTTGTCACAATATTCATCAAAGCTGTTGAAAGCAGCGCTGCATGCAGCCCAGTTGCTCTTGTTACTGCTTATCTCGCAGTGCTTTTAGCTGAGAGCGCACGCAGACAGCATTTGCCTCCGGCTTAAGATAACATTGTTGTTCTGCAACAGGAAAAATTGCTGAGCCAGGGCTTTGCCGCGCTGCAAATGTGCTATACGCTGGGGCCGTCCGCAGAGCGAAGAGTATCCAAATGGGGGAAGCGTTTTGAAGAATCGTCATTCATTTTAATGGCGTTTTATCTTCTGTCCTCTTTCCTGTTGTTGACTGTAATTATTCCATCCGTCAGTGCCTCTTTGGGGAGACCTGGTTGAAAAGAGTTACTGATCCCAACAGTGTTACAGCTTTCAGTTAGATCAGTGGAAATACGTTCAATCATTTATCCAGATCACCTCCTATTTAACTCATTGAGTTAGGAAGCATCAAGATATTTTAAGAGGAAACTTGAGGCACACATCAGGGAAAAAGAGACCAGAGGGTTGTGCCAAATTGTCAGAGGTGCCGTCTTCCAGAGGAGATGTTAGAACCGAGGTCCCGTCTGCCTGTTCAGGTGGGTGTCAAAGATCCCGCGGCGCTTTTCAAAAAGAGAAGGGAGTTCCTTCCGGTGTCCTGGCCAGTAATCCCCCAAATAAAATCGGAGTTTCACTTCATGGCTGTTTGTGGGACGTTGGCAGTCGCATTTGCACCCAAAATAAACAGTCACTATAGTGAATCCCGTGAAGCATTTTGAGACATCCTGCTGAGGTGAACAGGCACTATATATATTATGGGTGAGGGGAATAGGCAGATTGTGGGGTCATGTGAAATATAAACACAGGCACGGACTGGTGGGCTGACTGGCCTGATTCCGTGTTTTGTCACTCTGTGTAACTCTATTTGTCTCCTTGTTTTCTTTCTCCCAATATTCTTGCTTCCTCTGCTGAAGGTTTGTGACTCCCCTTTGCTTCCGTGGAGGTACAGTCCCAATGCACAAGTTCTGGGATTTTGTCCAAGTGATCATCGTTGATCTGTAAAGCTTTAGCAGTGAGTGTTCAGCTGTGGAGCCAAACTCAGTCCCATCCTGACCTGATATGAACGCACAGGCCTTCCGGCAGGAACCCTGGCTGGATTAATCTTCCCTAATTACTGTCACCGAGGCCGAATGTAGTGACTCTGATGAGATCAGATGACTCGGGACAGACCAGGGATTGAACGTGGGACCTCTCTGGTCTGTACGGCTCATTTGTTTGGGGGAATAAACCCGCAGAAGCAGCGGGGAGCCAGCTGTTCACTATCATTCAGCTCCGAAGCCCTGTCTGTCCTACTTATTTGCTCTTCCAAGGCATTTCCCTCGATGTCGCTAAGTGCTCACAATTTAAACAAAAGCATTCCACAAAAGGGCAAGAATAAATAATAAATGACTTAGTTTTGATATTGGGACTTTCACGGGAGGCTGCGTCAAAGCACTTGACGGGATGTAGTGTAAAGTGTAATTAGTGACTGTGTATTTTGTGGGCAGACGTGGCAGTCGATTTGCGCACTTGGACACGGTGGTGAAGTGAATGGTTCATTCTATCTGGGGGACACCACGAGAAACACCCTTCTCTTTTTGATCAGTGTCATGGTGTCTATCCAGTGTTTGGCCTGGCACTCCGAGTCATTATCCTGAGTGAAGGGGGCTGTATAAAGGCAAGTTGTTATTGCTGTGGGATCTTCAACTTCCAACTGAGAAAGCAGACGGGACCTCGGTTCAAATTGCTGATCCGAAAGACAACACCACCCCCCCCCCAGCACTGCACTGGGGGGTCAGCGTAGACTAAACAAGTTCAAAGTCCCTACCTGGGGCTTACACTCCGCAAACTGGTGACTCCGGGGCGAAAATGCTGACAACTGAGCCAAACTGTCACAAGAAGGTTGAAAAAACAGTCGAACGGCGTTAACCGCTGGGCGAAGGGCCTGTGATCTGAAGGGAATTTTCTGCAGGGAAAATTCCAACGGGTCACGCCGGCTCATCAAAACGTCGCTCCCTATGGATCTCTGCGAGCGCAGATGCCAGACTGACCAGCGATTTGGGACGCCCTCCTGACGTGAAAGGCGCTAGACAAATATCATGTGTTGTGGTTGCACGCGGCTGGTCTCCTTAGGTCACATCGTCGTACAAGGCTTCCTGTTCACTGGCTTTGTCGACACTGCTAATGAGAATTCTTTGTAACTGATTTTGTTTTAGCACACACACCCACACACACACGCACCTGCACACACACGCACACACACACACGCACACAAACACACACACGCACCCGAGCACACACGCACCCACACACACGCACACACACACTCGCACCCGAGCACACACGCACCCACACACACACACACACGCGCACCCACACACGCACGCACACACACACAAGTACACACACGCACACAAATAGTTATTCAATGTCCAGAGTTCTATAATCTCCACCCACCATAAATGCTCCCGAGCTGGACAGGATGGTTTTGTAAGTCGAATCATTTCTGTGCATCATCGAGAATTAATCCTCGCACGTGATATAGTGCTTAGAACAAATATGCGCTCTTATATTTGCTCAAGCGCTCTGGGTGGCTACCCTGCCTGAGGGGCGCTATATCAATGCAAGTTGTTGTTATATATAATACGCTCTTTCACATTCAGAGAAATACTCAAAAGTGCTTTACAAAGACTTGAGTGGGAACCTGGGGTGGAGGGAAGTGGGCGAGGGGAAGGTAGCCCAAGCGAGAGAGTCAAGGAGGTTGATTTTTTGAGACAGGTTTTGAAAGCAGAGAGAGAGCGCGCGCGCGCGCGAGCAAGACACAGGGGTCAGAAAGTCTCCAGTGCTTCACGTGATAATTGCTGTGACTTCCAGTGACTCGAGTATTTGTAGGCAAGCGCAGCAGGCCGTTTGTGTAGAGCACTGTCCAACAAACAGCCATTGTCCTTCTGGGGGATTGTCGGCCAGAACATTGGGCGAAACTCCCTCCTTCTTTCGGACACTGTCGTGAGATATTGAACAGGTCGCGCAGTGCCGCTGTGGGCTTTGTGCCACAATGTGACCCATAAACTGCGCGCACTCTCGGACAGGCTTCACATTTCCATATCAGCACAGCAAAGGGTCCACGCGGTTCGCTGTGTTGGGAGGGGGTTGGGCGGGCTGGGGCGGTTGTTACGAAAGCGATTGCAGCTACTCATCCCGTCTCCGGTTGGGTACAGGTGATTTTCAGAACAATTGCACATCTCTCACTCCGGCACACGTTCTCCTCCGTCGTGCCCTCTCCGTTAAGATCCGGTGCCAGTGTTGGACACGGGGTAAGGCTTACAGGGCAAGGAAGTGAAGTCCTTCACACATCGGGCACCTATTTTCCCTGCGTCGATTTAGAAAATGGGGTCTGAAGTGCCTTACCCTGTTATCATGGCATATCTGCCGGTTTGCACAGAGCCTGACTCTTAAGGTCACCTGGGAGTTGTGGGTCGGTGCCAATCGCAGACATCAAGGTGATTGACACAGCATCATAGCAGTCTGTTTGATGTGTTCCTGATAGATTGCCTTTATCTGTCTTTGGCACTAGGAGAAGCTTTGCTCAAAGCAGCACACTGTGTTCTTTTATGCGATCAAGATATTGTTTATTTCCTTTTTGACATTGCCTTTCATTGCAAAGGACCTCTGCGTTTTGAACTTTAAAATAACTGGCCCGAGCGCTTGATGAATTGGATTAATTTGTACGACACGGCAAATGTTGGTTGCGTTGCATTGTTGTTCGCTATTTTTAATTATAATTCAAGTGTTACACAACAGCAGTGTTGATGCTTTTATTTTAATGGCATTCTCCGAGTGGGTATAGAATTGTGGTAAAGTGTTCATTCAGCAGTTTTGATAAATAAGTTATTTCGGAAGGTGGACTACAGATCCGGTCACTTAATCCACAACTGTTTGTGGGGACGCTGCTGGGCACAATTGGCTGCCGCGTTTCACCCACAAAATATACAGTCAATTCACTTTGCAATATGTTCTGTGAAGAGCTTTGAGATGTCTCAACGTGGTAAGGCGCTGTATCAAATGCAAGGATTATTATTATATACAGAGTGTGTATAAAACTGACAGTTTGTGAGTTTATCAGGATTTTAAAAAAAAGTTTTCTGATCACAATGTTAATTTCCGTGGACTTATTGATTTCAGGTCAATTTTCCAAATCATAAATCAACCAACATTTTCTCAAGCGCATTGAGAGTAAACAGACTGCTTTGATAAAATTTGAGGCA